CTCTCTCTCTCTCATACAAGTTCCAAACGCAAGCACACAACTAATAGCAATTATACTCAGACAAGCAAGTACACACAGGCCACATTCACTGACAACATTCTTACCCCGAGACAGGCCCTAAGTTGGGCACTGGGGACACAAAAATAAATTCAACTTTGTCCCTTGGCCATCAAGGAGCTCCCAGTCTAGCAGGACAGCACTCATTACACTTAATGACTGAAGAGCATTCATTACACTTAATGACTGAAAAGCTGAAGGAACAGAGGTAGGCACCAGGGATAAGGGAACACTCTGGAGAGTTAGGCCTTGAGATATGAGTAGGAGTTTGCCAGACAAGGAGAGGCACAGCCAGGCAGAAGTGAGCACAGCGTATATATGCCAAGGCACATGGGCATGTGTGAGGATGAAACTCCCTCCGCCCCCTACCAGCGTCTGGGGTAGATCTTCTGCGGCCCCAACCCAGCAGGGAACACTCACCGACAGATACAGGTAGCGGTACTCGTGGGAGATGCAGCGGGCAAAGCTGGGCAGCCCCCAGTATGCCACGCCCTGGGCACTGAGGAGACAGCGGCGGCTGGCAGACCCTGCGGGAGACAGGACAGAGGGCTGGGCGTGGGAGCTGAGCTCTCACCCACTTCACTCTGCACCTCAGGATGATCCAAGAAGCTGGAAACCCAGAAGGGTGCAGCAAGAGTGACAGGGATGGGGGCCTGAGGGGGAGCACCTGCCCCTCACCTGAGGCATTGGGGGGACACTTGTTGTAGATGATCTCGCCAGCAGCCGCCTTCTTCCACGTCATCAGCATCACATACTCATCCCTGCACATCTCGTGGAAAGCTGTGGGTACAGGGACAGGGCTCAGCCAGGCCCACATGCTTGTTCCCCAGCCCCCAGGGTCCTGGGAGCAATACCTGGGCACCTCTTCTCACTGCAGGGCTTCACCTCCTCTCCGGTGCCCTCGCAGGGATAGCCCTGCGCGCCCGTGGCCTGGCACATGCGGAAGCGACGCTGCCAGCCCGTGTCACACGTCTTGGAGCACAGGCTCCACGAGTTCCATGGCCCCCACTTGCCATCTGTGGCTATAGGAGAGGGGGGGCATTGAACGGACTCGGGTGCCCCCAGGGCCGGAATGGCCACCTGCCGCCCTTGCAAGCACTCACCGGGACACTCAAGGTTGCCGCACTCGCGGGTGTCAGTGAGGGCCCCCGGACACGTGGCCCAGGCTGGACCCGCCACACTGCACTTCCGGCTGCGCTGCTGGGTCCCGTTGGCACAGGACGTGGAGCACGGGCTCCAGGGACCCCATTCTAGCCACTGACCTTCCACTGCATGGGGAGACACAAGCAGGGGTGGCCGTTGAGCGAGGGGTGTGGGAACTGGTGGGGGCAGAGCACGGCAGGGAGATGGCAGGGCCTGCTAAGCATTGGTACTAGAGTCAGGCCAAACCCACCAGAGAGGGGAGGAAGAAGAGGGGGGAGCAGAGGGTGAAAGGGGGCTGGAGTGAGCAGGTGGTGCCCAGGCCGGGTACTGCCTGCTTGTTTGTCACCAGCTCCAGGGACTCAAGGCACCTCTCCACTCAGCATGAGGCACACATTCTTTTGGCTGGGGAAACGGGCCGCCTTCTGATCGATCTTTCTCTAACTTAGGCCCAGCTTCGTGTCCTTCCACAGCCCAGGAGGCCATGAGCACCAAAGCGCTATGAACAGCAAGGGTAGCCCAGGGCTCGGGGGAAGGGCACTGGCAAGCAGACCCCCTTGGATGGGGTCACCATATGCCAATTCCAACCAGGTTAGGCCAGGTCACCTCCCCCACTGACCGTCTCCCCATGCTTGGTCATGGGGCCCCCAGAGGCAGGGCACGGGACGTGACTGCCTCCTCCGAGTCTCCCGACCCCAACCCCCACCCGGCTGGGCAGCGCCCGCCTGGAAGCCCCTGGGCGCTACTGACCCGGGCAGGCAGCCATGCTGCAGAGCTTTTCCGGCTCCGGGACCCCCGCCCGCAGCTGCGGGAGCACAGGCTCCAGGACCCCCACTCCTCCCACACGCCGTGCACTGCAAGGAAGCACGTGGCTGGGGGCTAGGCTGCACCTTGGCCCCGCCCACTGCCCATCCACCCACCAATCAGGAGCTCCGGCAGTTCTGCGACCGCTCCTCATTGGCTCTGTCCTGGGCCCCACCCTTTGGGGGGGCGGGAGGTGTGGATGACAACAGTTTATAGTCCCAACTCACACTGGACACCCAGACAGGAGCCTGGGATCGGCCCAGAAGGGAAGGAGGGGGTCCTCTCCTGGGAGCACAGGGAAGACCAGGAAAAGACTCAAGACCTACATGTACCCTACCCTACTGTACCCCTCCCCGCTCCCCCCACCCCTAGACCCAGAGCAAGAAGCCAACACAGCAGGCCTGGAGCAGAAGTGCCCCTCTGGCCCCAAGCGCATGGACACACAAATAGACGTGAACCTTGACGTGGACACGGACACAAGAGCTCACTCCAGAACACGGCTTTGCCCCAGCCCTTTGCAAGCTCTGCCACACCCCCAGGTATCAAGACCCCCTTCCCAGGTAGCCCTACTTTAATTCCACAGCCAGGCCGAGGCACCACTGCACTCCCTCAGGGCGTGAGGAGCAGGACTGCGCCCCGGCCCCAGCCCAGGACTCCCCCTCCCAGCAGGCACATGCACACTCTCGGCTCCATGCTGAACTGGGGAAGGCTTCGGGGGCCACAGGAGGCTCCCTGGGGAGTGGGGTGGGGAACCAGAGGAGGGAAGGGATGATCAGGGAAGGTTTCTTTCTTTCTTTTAAGGTCATTTGTCTTAGATCATAAATGACAGGCTGAATTTTAATAGTCCTGGTGGGAACAGTGGGGAATAGGACGAGAATAAGGAAATACAGGGCAGTGGGAAAGTGCAGGGTGCTGGTGTGGTCAGAGCATAGGGAACACGAAGGGCAAGGAGGGTAAAAAGATAAGCTGATTACCAGGCCCCAGGCAACTGGGGAGTGATGTGCCCAGAACCCAGCCCACTGGTGTGGGCCTTGGTCTGATGCATCTGTGTCCCCAGTGCCCTGGGTGGGGCTGGGCACAGCGTGGGGGATGGTCGGATTTGCTGAATGAAAGGAAGATTGACCTGCCCAAGTCCCAGGGGGGCCCGCACCTGCGGGCAGACCGGGCGGGGAGGATGGGCATACCTGGGCACGTGGCTGAATTGTTGCAGGGCCGGGTCTCCCGCAGAGGCCCGCTGCACAGGGTCCCATAGGGGGAGGACACACAGGAGCGGGTCCGCACCTGCAGACCCTGCCCACACGTCAGGGAACACACGCTCCACGGGGACCACTCCTCCGCCGCTGGGTCACCTACAAGAGAGGGGCAGCGTCGGCGGCAAGGGGCACCTTCCAAGCATCCAGTCTCATAGCAATCCTCCTACCCTGACCCCAAGTGGCAAGCCCTTCAGGAGGCAACCCAGCCCTGCCCACAGGCCTCACGTGGCAGAAAGATGCGACTGAGCTCCGGAACATAGACACAGACGGGCACATACCAAGCACACATGCCACCAGAAGCCACACAGTCGGGCCCCCGCCGCAGAGGAAGGGAGGCGGCCCGAGTTACCTGTCTGTGCCAGGTATACCCCAGGCTCATCTGCAGACCTCGGCCACTGGGTTTTCACCTTTGGTTCCTCTTCCGGCTCCTCACCTGGAACACAGAGGTGGTGGCAGGGGCTCAGCCAAGGCCAGCTCCGTCCTGCCGGAGTGGCACAGAGAGGGCAGCCCCGCTCGACCTCAGCCTGAGGGTCTGGAACCAATTGCAGACGATGCTGAGAGAGCATCAAGTCCTGCCCCCGGCCCCCCCACCACCATTTCACAGATAAGGAAACTGAGGCTCAGAAGGCCACACAGGACTCGCCCACACCTCACAACTTCCTTTTCCTCCTCTTGCCTCAGGCAGGCTGGGGAGCATGGAGGGGCGTGGCCACTCCTTAGTGAGCTCTGGGAGACTTCTGTGCCTGTGCTGGCCACACCCATCTCTTTAATCCTCCCCAGGGAAGTAGGGACCCCCTCTCGGTTTAGAGATGAGGAAACTGAGGGCTAGAGAGGGGGAGTGACTTGTCCGAGACCACACAACTTGGTGAGCCTGAAACCCACCCTCTTTCCCCTCACATGGCTGACTCCCAGGGCTGACAAACACCCAAGCCGGGCAGCTGTGACCACCCCGCAAGCCTGCCCCTGGGGCACGGTTCACGCCAAGCCAGGGCTGGGGCTGGGGCCTGGATGTGGCTTCCCAGGCAGCACTGGACTGTGACCTGAGGGCCCAGGTCAGAAGGCAGTTCCCCTGAGACTCAAGGGCTTAGGGCAGGTACCCACATCCAGTTGCCCCTCCTTCCCACTGCCCCTTCGGCCAGGAGAGCAGCAGGTCCTCCACGAGGCATTGCTGCCTCAGCCCCAGCCTACAGGGCTCTCGGCCTTGGCAGCACCCCCAGCGCTGGTTCTCAACCTGTGGGTCGCGACCCCTTTGGCGGTTGAACGACCCTTTCACAGGGGTCGCCTAAGACCATCCTGCATATCAGATATTTACATGACGATACATAACAGTAGCAACATGACGGTTATGAAGTAGCAACGAAAGTAATGTTATGGTTGGGTCACAACATGAGGAACTGTATTGAAAGGGCCGGAAGGCTGAGAACCACCGGTTTAAGGCAACCCAAGAGGACTGTGCTCTTCCTGGCCCCTGGCGCCCAGTCCAGGCTCTGCGTCCGAGAGCAGCTCTTCCTGACGGCATGAAGAGTGGCCACGTGAGGAAACGGCTGTCCAGGGGGCCTTCCACTGCCACTCAGCCCAGCGTCTAGTCTCATCAGCCAGGCCCTTCGCTCCACTTCAGCCGCCAGTCCTAAGACCAGCTCTGCACCATCCCCAGAACTTCACCAGCTCTGCCTCCGGACCCACAAACATCTTTGGAGTCAGGCAAGCCTGGGTCCCGACTAGAGCGTGGACACTGCCCAGCTGTGTGACCCTGGGCAAGTGTCGCTGCCTCTCTGACCTCCTTTTGACACAATATGACACAATACTCGAATGCTCCCTGACAGCAGGCCATGAAACCCTCAGCACACGGCTCGCACATGGCGGATGCTCAGGAGGCAGGAACTGTCTGGTTCATTTTTATCATCTCCCCTCCCCTCGCACCGTCCACCCCTCCTTCACCCACACATGCCCCCCTTCAGCCCCCGGGCCTCCTCCCTTTGAACAGCATCTGAGGGGCCTCCTGGCCTCACTTTGAGCCCTACCTCCATCGGGACCACTGAGAAGGTGTTGGTGCCACACCTGGCAGCTTCTGAGTCTGCTCACCCGGCCCTCCCACCACACCCGCTCAGCCAGTCCCCCACCCCGGAGCCGTGTGACAAGCTGCCTTCTCCACACCCACCCCCGGGCTGCTGAAGAAATCTACAGCTGTGCCAACTGGCACCATCACAGATCCAGGCTGCACATCCGCTGGGCACCCAGGCTCCTCAGCCGCCCTTCTCGGCTCCCTGCCTTCCCCATTCCCCACCTCGCTGGCTGTGTCAGACCTTGACCCCGCTCCTCAAGCCCATTTCCACCCACTCCCTCGGCGACAAGCTCGCTACAGAAAAAGCAGAAGTTATAATCCAGGAGGACCACACACACACTTCGTGTCCCACCCCTCCACCTCCCAACTTTCCTGCAGCTCTTCTCACAAAGGCCAGCCCCTCAGCTGGTCCCGCATCCCACTCCTCCTTTCTTCCCAGGAGGGCTCCCCCCTCAGCTGGTCCCGCATCCCACTCCTCCCTTCTTCCCAGGAGAGCTCCGTCAGCATTCCGTCGGCATCTGCCCAGGCCGCCTCCATTCCGGGGTGGGGGTGGGGGGAGCCCTCCTTTGACCCTCCATCCTCCTCCGGCCATTGCCCTCCGGCTCCTCTTTGCCATCAAGGAGTGGTTTGCAGCTGGCACTCCGGTTTCTCACCTGCCACTCACGTCCTGGCTCAACTGTCACCTCACCTGCTAATCCACTGCAGTCTGGCTTCTGACCGCATCTTTCTGCTGAAACCGTTCTTGACAAAGTCACCCAGGCCTCCTTGCTGCTAAATCCTATGGACACTTTGCAGGCCTCGTCTCACTTGACCCCTGGGCAGCATTTGTCCCCGTTGATTCTTCCTGCCTTGAAACACTCCCTTCCCTGACCCTCCTGCTCTCCTCCTGCCTCTCTGGCCCCTTGGGCCCAGTCTGCCTACTGGTCCATCTTCCTGCTGCTTCAGGCATCCACACTGTCCTGTTTTCCCTGCACACTCTGCATCCCTCCTGCAGGCTTCATTAACCCCTCTGAATGGCTGCTGCCAAGCCATTATCCCAGACTTCCCCCCCCCTCCCACCTTCACTCCTATCTAGTCTGCTGCCTCCTGAACAAGTCTCCCGATGTGGGGGGCGGGGGGGGGGGGAGTAGGGCTCACACTCAGCATGTTCAAACCAGGATCATCGTCTCCTCTCAAACCTCCACTGCTTGTTCCCCACCTTCTTTGCCTGGAAAACTCCTACTTGACCTTCAAAACCCACCTCAAATGATCCCTCATCTGTGAAGACTTCTTTGTCCCCTACTTCCCAGGCAGAATTGGCTGCCCCCTCTTCTGTGTGCCCTCTCCTCACAGATGACTCCATCTTCTGACTGTCTGAACTTCCTCCCACCCATGAGCCGTTTGAAGGAAGGCTGTGGGTGAGCCATCTCCCTGGCCGCAGTGAACGCCCACACAGAATCCGGTCCAGGGAACTATCAATCAACACACTGCTCCTAAGCGCCCCCCCCCCCCACCTCATGGCAGGGTCACTGGAAACAGTCATTTATAATCTTGAACATCAGCTTTGCCCAGCAGCCATCCACCTACTTATTAATGAACCTGACAGCCATTTATGAATAAACATTCTAGAAAAGCCTTCAATCTGCTGCAAATTGAGCCAAGAATCCCCTTATCCAGCTCCTGTTTTGGTGTCTTGACCATCATCGTGTCTGTGACAAACCCCCCACCAGCCTGGCATCCAGGGAGACCGTCAAGCAGGAAGCAGTGACAGAGCAGCCTGGCCTGCCTGTCAGGGGCTCACTGCTTCCTGTGGCCTCCAGTCCGCTGCTCGGCACTCGCCAGCCGGGTGCAGGCCGGCCCTGCAGCACAACCAGACATGATGGTGGTGTTTGCTCGAACCCACCCTCATTGAAAATCAGAACCTGTCCCAGGTCCAGCTGGAGTCCCTTCCTAGGCTCCCGGCGGCCAGAGCGGGGAAGGAAGAGCCCAAGGCCACACAACAGGGCCTGCACCACTGCCCTCCCTCCACCCCACCCCTCCTCCCTCGGAAGGGTGGCCCGCTATTTATTTCCCCGCATGTGAGAGCCGGCTCTCGCCCAAGGGGGAAGAAGACAGATAGGGCGAGGGGTGTCACCTACTGAAACAAACGTTTATTCAGCATCTACAGCATCTACCCCGTGCAGGCCCCAGCCAGCTTGGCTCTGGGCCCAGAACAGGGGGAGTCTGAGAGGAAGCTGAGCCAAGAGGACCAGGAGGGGCCCAGGAAAGGGTGTGAGCACCCCTAAAACTCCCAAGTGTCGCACCCAGTGAGCTTGGGCCTTACTGGACCAGGGACTCTGATGCTCACAGGCCTGCCATCTATCGGTTTTCCCTCCTGGCTGCCTAACATGGGCACCGACAGACCTGCCGCCTGGGGCCTGGGACAGGCTTCCCGGATCAACCTCTGCCCGGCTCTGCTTTGAAGAAGGGAACCCTCACTACACAACTGCTGCGAGCCAATCGCCAGGACTCTTCATCCTCATTCCCTCCTCATTAGGACGGGCTCTCCCATTCCCTAGTGAGGAGCGAGCCTCCAACGTCTCTCACTGAAGAGAGGCCGATGGGGATTCGAACTCAGGCCTGTCTGACTCTGGAGGCCATGCTCTTTCCACTGAACTGTGCTGGCTCTGACAAAATGCAACTCAACTTGGACCTCCTCAGAGGCACCTTTCCTAATTCCCAGGGGACCCCAAGGCACTCCCTCGCCCCACCAGAGCCCCTCAGACTTGCCTCTGTTATCCTGTTTCACACCACTCTCTAACTGGTCCTTTGCACATCTAACTCCCTCCCCCTCCCCCTCCCCCTCCCCCAAGGTGAGCCTGATTCTCCTCTGCAGGCTCCAAAGTGATTGTCTGGGAACCTGGCTCCAGACACACTCCCCTGCTAAGGAACCTTCAGTGGCTCCCAGTGCCACAGCCACAGTGTCAACCTCTGAGCCTGGCATGTTCCGGCCCCTACTGGCCTGCCCAGTCCTGTTCTCCCCTCCCCACGAGGCAGCCCAACACACTGGCGGGCCATGTGGAGAGTGGGAAGAACATAGATGTAGGGGCAAGGCAGGCCCCTCTGCCACAGTCTTGCTGTGTGCCCTTGGGCAAGTCACCTCACCTCTCTGAGCTTAAAAATCTTCAACTGAAAATAAAGATGACACTTTCTATCACAGGTGAGAATAAAAGGAAACAAGAGATATGGCCCACGTGGAATATAATAACCTCTCCATGAAAAGGAGCTGCCACCCCATCTTGTTTTCCTTTGAATATACAAATGCTTCCCTCCCTCTACGTGCATCTGCTAACGGTGCTTCCTCCCTTCTTCCGCGTCAGTCTGCCAACATTTTCTACACGGCAAGTGCCACC